TAGCAAAAAGACCAGCGAAGGGTATCTTCTAATCTGAAGCGTCGATCTAAAAACGAAAGGCTCAGGATGATTGGATGTATATGTGTATTTCCATTATATTTCTGGATTTGTTTTTTTTAAGAAAAACAGCCATAAAACATATACGTGATGTCATGTGATGTCATCAAGCTAATCGGAACAGCTAACTGGAGCAGGGCACGGAGCACGCACGGTGCACGGTATCAAGAGCTTAACCAAAATATAAAGGATATACATGCTTACATGGGGAACGGCATGTAACTTGCAACAGGTAAGATGGTGGCGAGCTTGCTTGTGTATGAGGTATAGAACATGGTTGGCTTGTACTGATGTACAGGGGCATGCAAATATGTAGCGTAACTTTGGCAGTTGGATTGAAAGAAGCGGCGGCCAGGGAGGCTTGTCCGAGAAACGTAGAAGATAGATGGAACAAGAGTGTTGCGTGGGACACTTACCGATGGTCGAGAAACAGCGAGGATGATTGGGCTGGGCGGCGCGGCGGCGACGGCGAGAGAAGGATGAGAAAAATCTAATTTACTAGACGAGGGATTTCTCAAATTAGGGGTTTCCTTTACGGTAGTTTTTGTGTGCTTTGTCCAAGGGATTGGTACACATATATAGGCAGAAAAACACCCTACATCTACATTAACTAGCAATATAGTTTTAATTGATGTTGCACCCTCCATATTTACTAATGGGCCTAAATAAACATTAAAGCCCATTAGTAAATAAAGACGTGTGTCTTTAGGATTTATTAGGATTATTGCACATGGGCTTTGACCCATTGAGAAAAATGAGAGATTTATTATTTTCGGAATTAATTAATTTCGTGGATAAAATAATTCTTGAAAAGTCCAGAATTGATATTTAAGCCACGAAAAATGCTCTGAAAACTCCAAAAATTCGGGGAAAATTCCTAGAGACACTTTGGGATATGATGAACCCAAATAAAGTATTTGGAGCTCATAAAAATATTGTTGGGAACTTAAAACATAAAGATTAAGGTGAAGGAGATAGGAATTAAATTCCAGCAAGAAACTGAAAATTTCCTAGAGATAGATATTCGTCTACTAAACGTAAAAAAAACACACATTTTGCACATAGAAACACGAGGTACGACCGGCATGAATGCAACAAACACGTTTCTACCTTATGATAAATTTTAAATTAATGATTTTTTTATTTTCCTATGTTTTCATGTGCACAAAAAATCACAAATAAATCATTTGAACTCTATTTTCAAAAGTGGCAAATTTTGAGGTGTTACACCGGAGGATATGAATTATCCGCAAATTTTATGCAGATTATCTGATATTTAGAATAGGATATCCGACAATTTTCTTCCTTGACTAAAACCTAGAGAAATTTAGGATTTTAAAAAAGTTTGTTAGTTGAGTACTCTTAGTTTGTGATGTTGTTTGATGTTATTAATTTTGAATTGAGATCTTGCTTCCTGTTATTACATATTGGCTAATAAACTTATCATTTATGAGTGAGGATAACTTGTTAAATGTTAATTGCGTCATTGTGATGGCCACAACATGGTATGCACTATATGATTTTTGTCTACTACTTGTTATTAAGTCTTTACAAATTATTTTTCGACAAGTATAAGATTCTTTAAGTATGCACATATTACTCAACTATTTAAATCCGTATCCGATCCATTTCCGATCCATTTCCGCTACATCCGTACCAGTTCCGACATCCGAAAAAATCCGTATTCGCATCCGCATCCGAGTATTATTCACTCCGATCCGAATCCAACAAAGCAAAGTGGATTAGGATATGGAAAACGCATTATCCGCTCCGACCCCATCCATTTTCATCCCTATATGGATGGATTGTTTTATGCTTGTCATTTGAATCTAGTCATGTGTGGGGTGTGCCCAATGTAATATGATTTGTTAAATTAATATTCCTGCTATATAAACGATGTAAATTAAATTTGACACTGTTTCATTGATTTCAAAAAAATCATTTCTTTCTGTTGGCTATAGTGTTCATTCGATGATATAAAAACTGATGAGAGTGACAATTTCCTGTCGGTATTCACATTTTCCTGTTGGTTAACTGTAACACTGGTATAGTTCTGGACCTGGTGGCCAAGAATTTTGCTTGACTAGGAATTTTCCTATCGACGCCGTACCGACAAAGAAATGGGTGTACCAACAGAATTGGTTCACCAAAAGACATTTTTATTACCACTGCTACCAAAACTCTGGCCCGGGAAAAAATGTCCTTGCCACCTTCTCCATTTGCCACCTAGCCACTCCTACCAAATCCTATGAGCATGGCTTCTGGAGTACAAACTAGGTACAGAGCTAGTAGATGACCACACAAATAACCTGCAACAAAGAAGATATTATTACTTGTTTTTCATGTAGTTCCTGGATACCTTTATATAGCGGGACTACCATGTCAAGGACTAATTTGATGTGGACAGGCATTCGGCATACATAGGTAACTGAAACAACAAAAGATATTGAGCTTCAAGCATATTAGTTGAGTCATATCATGCACGTGGCAGAAGAAATATTTAATCACTTATATTGGACCTGTAGTGAATACTGAAACTTTCCACAAAAGAATGTATTGTCGATATGTGTCAAGCGGGAAGGAGAAGTAACAGGCATTGTGTTGCAACTGAATTATAAGTAGTATGTTTGCCGATACATATGCTATATATATACAAGAGTAAAGTTCACGGCCGATCCACAAACTTAGGGGGGGTGTCATCCTGGTCCCCGAACTCAGAAAATGTGTCACTTTAGTCCTTCAACTCTTTCTGGGTCTCATATTCATCTAAATACATATGGATTCATACCTGCCTCCATATCCATTTGCATGAATATGAGACCCAAACAGAGTTTGAGGACCGAAATTTATAATGTATTTTTTTAATTGATAATGTATTCTTTTAATTGATTGAATTTAAAAAGAAATTGATTTACTCTACATTCCTGGTAAAAAGGTTAGTGGCAACACCACCACTAAGTATTAAGCCATGTTGCGCGAGTTTGTTACTACGGCATGTTCGGAAATGACAAGGGGCACGTAATTGTCTCCGGAAAGTAGAGAGTTGCAGGAGTTTGTAGCATGATAGTAATGAAGACTACAACCACTATAAAGGCTCATGCTTTTTACCGATTAAACACAAAAGATCAAGCTTGTTGAAGCCCACTTTAACAGGACCAAAATAATGTCGTCGGTTCGCAAGGAAAGAGAAGGAAAGAGGAGTTGCGAAATGATTCCATGTGTAGTGAATCCAGCTTTGTAATGCATTATAATGGTACTATGAGACTAAGTCATATTTGAATCATATTACCCCTAAGTGTTTGATTTATGCAAAAACTATTTGATTTATGTGAGATTATATATATATATATATATATATATATATATATATATATATATATATATATATATATATATATATATATATGCATACAGAGCCAAGATCGTCGCTGCCCATCAGTAGAACACTTGAAGTTGAAGTGTAGAAAACACCTAAACGTGACCAGATCTGGAAAGACCGTTCGCAGCCTAGATCATATTCCAAGGGTATAGAATTTTTTTTCATGGTAAACAGGCAAACAAACAACCTCATTTTTGTTATAATGAAAGTATTTTTATTGATTTCATTGCAGTTATTGCATTAAGTTGATGCAAACATCTTGAGATCACTTTGGACTTCCACATTTTAAATGCACATAGCCCACAAAGTTTTGAATAGAATAGACACACTATCAATCTGTAGACTAGACCACCACTCTTGTGGCCCCAAAAAAAAAGTCCTTGGCTACCTTCTCCAATTGCTGCCTAGCCACAGCTACCAAATCATATGACTCCTCAAATAACCTGCAACAAAGAAGATATTATTAGTTGTATTTTAGTTCCTGCATAACTTTATATAGCATGACTAACATGACAAGGACTAATTTGATGTGGTGGAATGGCATTGGGCATACATGGGTAACTGAAACAACAAAAGATATTGAGCTTCAAGCATATTAGCTGGGTCATACCATGCACTTGGTAGAAGAAATTCCTAACCACTTATATTGGACCTGTATTGAAAACTGAAACTTTCAAAAAAAAAAAAAGAATGTATTGTCGTCTTGTCGATATATGTCAAGTGGAAAGGAAAAGTAACAGGCATTGTGTTGCAACTGAATTGTAAGATATATGTTTGTGGATACATATGCTATATAAAATGCTACGTAGTGTGTGACAAACACTCCAATTAATAAATAAATGATCACAATACAGAATGCTAGCACGAAAATAAATTGGCGGTGGCATTGTGTTGCAACTGAATTGTAACATATATGTTTGCGGATACATATGCTATACAAACACAACAATTTCTAGTTGATTTTGAGACAAAAGCAGTACCTCCATGTACTTCACACACAACTTATCGAACCATAGGAACATTCTTTGGGGATAAATTAACAAGTGCTGACGGATCAATCTTCGTTAGCCTTAATCTCCATCAACAACCAATCCTTCCTCAGATTCTTTGGTAACCTTAAAAGAGATCTGCACCGGCGGCCGTTGTCACGGCTAAGAATTCTATACACTTTTACCTCATCATGATCCAATCCATCGCTAGGTATCTCTTGAAATGCCTCAAAGATCTCTGATGCTTGCACAAAAGGCTCAGCGAACGAAGCAGGTTTTGTTGGATTGCTGTCATAATCGTCTCTTATTAGTTGCTTGTCAACGGAAATTGGCCGTGGCCTCTCAATGTCCTCCTACCTTTGTCCTGTGAATGTACCATCACTACCACTACTACTTGGATAAGAATTGAAGAAATACGATACGTTGCTGGGGATTAAGCCATCCCGCATTTGTGACAACAACACATCTTCGTAGCGCGAAACAGACTGTATTGTTTTGCTTCTCGTGTTGACCATAAGCACATCTACCGTTCTGTCTCTATAGTGCCAGTAGCTGTCCTCTTGGGGCTCTTGCAACTAGAAGCAGATGACCTCAGGTTCGTCCAAGCTCACGACGGGGTGGTCGAGTGGGAAGCACCGGAGGCCCTTGTAGGAGTCGAGCGCCCAGGGCTCAGAGGCGTCGACGATGCCATCCTTCACCCACTCCATATCGCCATTGCCGATCCTCATCGTCCAGGTTTCGATTGTGTAGGAGTGACAAGAACGTTCGCAGCTGGAGGCACCAGCGCCGCCACAACAGCAGCGGGGGAAGATGTTGAAGAACTTGATCACGTCGCCCCCAGCAGTGGCGCACACGTTCCGGTTTGATGGCTCCCCCCATATGTTTTCCATGGGGAGCGGTAGATACTGCAGCCTGGGTGTCTCCTCGTCGAACACGTCGCAGAGCACGATGCCTAGTTCCCATGGGTCGACCCAGCAGAGTAGCCCGTCGTCGCCGACAGGGACGACGCCGTGCCACAAAGGAGGATCTTCTGGCACTTCACTGGCGTCGCGGAACCTGATCTGCAGATGGATCCACTGACCAGAACGGAATAGGGAGAGGTCGGCCTCCCACATAAGCTCCGGCGTGTCCGGTCCCTTCGACACCATCACGAGATCAGCCACCACGACCACGTGCTCGCCACGGCGCACGAGGCCGGTGGGACGACCGAGACGGGAAGGCAGGAGCAAACACAGGGACTGTGGCCGCGGGGGGTCCGCAGCGGCGGCGCCTGCGCTGTACACGAAGTGGTCTATCCTGAGGCGATGTGGAACCTCGATGCGCGCGGAGTCGCCATGCGCCGCGATGACCGTTGAATACTTCGCATCAACGACGTCAGGAATCTGAAGGCAGACGCACGAAACCCCTGGTGGCTCCACAAGGCGGAGGGAGACTTGGATCAGGTGCCCGGTGCTCAGCCGCCAGGGTCTTGCTTGCGTCGGACGTGGAGCAAGAGGAGCCCTCGGCCTGGATCTTCATGTCCGGCTCGAGCATCACCCACCGTGGGTAGGCGGCGGCGGACGACGGATCGGAGGGAGGTTGCGCCGTTTGCGCTTCCATGGGCGCCGCCGCCATCATCACCGCCGAACAGTTGTGTGCCCTAACTTTTCCGATCCGTTTGGATTGGTATTGGAGGATTGATGATGAACGTTTGATAATATAAGGAACGGTGGTGGATACGTATTGCAAACGGAAGGTTTTTTAACGGACATATCCTTGGTCTCTTGTGGCGAAAACCAGAAGTCAAACAATTTAAAATTTAATTAATCCTATATAAAAGATTAATAATGTTTATGAATGATGCTAAATAAATATCACTAATTAATTGTGAAATATATTTTTATTGTAAATCTATTTAGACATAATGTTGTTAATGTTTTTTAAAACTTGGTCAAACTTGCAAAATTGATTTATCTACATTCCCGGTGATTATATTCGAAAAAATGATGAGAGCACCTGTCATGTGTGTAAAGAGCAAGCTGGTGGACTAACTACATAGACGACCAAGAACCTAAAATTCCCCTCTTGCGTCCCAAAGGAAAGGGGAGAACTCCTTCCTCCCCTCTTGCACTGCCTGCTTTGTGTCAACGAAAAAATATAGAAAAGGAAAAACTCTCGTAACCATCAGTAACAGGCTCAATGATATCCTTTGGGCACCTATTTCTCTGCTCCAAACGAAAAAGAATATGGAACCGTTTTGTTCGCACACGAACACGTCACCGTGTGCCTCGCCGCAATCATCTTAACAATTAATTTGGCTACTCGAAATTATGATTCGAGCCAAATTTGAGTGTCAACGCGTTTGACCAGTCGATAAGGTCTCTTATTTATCTACGACCAAAGTAAAGCGTGGATCCAATCTGAAATACAGGTTTTTAAGAAGCAGGGAGTATATACTTAGTACAATTAGAACTTTGATATGAAGGTATTGATTAGTTTTGATACCGATCGCCTTAGACTCCAATATCACTACTACAAAAATAATTTTAGGAGACTCCTTATGTTATTAACAAAGGCAGGCACAAAATTCTTGTGTCTCGACAAATCCTCGCCTAATTTCCGAGCTGGTCCTCAAGTTTACGGAGACAACCCAATAAAGTACTGCCTCTCAAAATCACCTAACGAGGTCTCCTAAGGTGTCTGCCTCTGAAAATGAGAGCCATCTATAGAAGCGAGCCTCTTGCGTGGCCCATCTTTGTAAAAAAGGCCAACCCAATAAGAAACCCTAAGTATATAGCCTACATTTTAGCCGCCATCACCCACGGCTCTTCAGCCAGTCGGTCTCTCTCCAAACACACACACGCACCAGCTAAATTCTCAAAATCAATCAAATTACCTCCATGTCCTGGTTTAGAGTGGTTTAAAGGATGGTTTGTCTTTTTTTAGTTAAAAACCAATAAATACTTGGTAAGGTTCTTAAAACGCAAAAGCTATCTCTAAGCTTTCAAAATTTTTGAAAACAATTCTAGAAATATATTGGGATATGACAAATCCAAAAAAATTATTTAAACATAATCAAAATAGAGGAAATTATTTCCTTGGCCCTAAAAATAGTGCTGCTTAGTTTTTTGGCCCCTTTTCTCTCGAACTTGCTTATTTTGCCCTAAAATGAATTTTCTTTGTTTTCTTGGCCCTTCTGGACAACTGTGTTAAGTTGTACGCCAAATGACTCTTTTACCCCTAGCTTGAAAAATAATTCTTGAAAAAATAAAAAATAATGACGCCATGCTTGAAAAAAATATTATACCTTATTTTGAAATTTTTTTGATAGAGGCAGCTGAAAAGATGTGAACCGTAGTCTTCGGCGCTAGGGGCAGAAGAGTCATTTCACGTACAACTTAACACCGTTAGCCCATCAAATTAATGGAAGGGCCAACAAACCAATGGAAATTCATTTTAGGGCCAAATAAATAAGTTTGAGACAAAAAAGGCCAAGAAACTAAACAACACTTCTTTTAGGGCCAAGGAAATAATTTCCTCGTGAAAATATCTCTAGATGCTTCAAAAATAGATTTAGCTCTATAAAAGCCAAAAACAATATAAAAAATTAGAAAAATCCCAAAACATTAATGTTGAATGTATCGATGTTGGTTGCATATTTGCATTCCAATGAGAATGTTTTAGATTTTCTACAGCTAAATCTATTTTTGGCGTATCTAGATATATTTTATGCGCTACAAATATTTTATTTGGAGTTATTGTATCATAATCTGTTTGTTAATTTTTTTTTAGAAATTTTAAAAGCTTAGAGACATTTCTTTGTTTTAAAAACCTTATCAAGTATTTATAGAATTTTACTAAAGTAAAATGGTACAAAACCAACTTTAAAACTACTCGAAGCCAAGAAAATGAGATAATATGAATGGTTTTAAAAGTTAAGAGGGCAAAATATTTAGTTAAAATTTAAGAAGAAAAATCAGCCTACAAAACAATAGTTTAAGAGGTAGAATATATTTTTTTCTTTCGCTACATTCCGATGAAAGGCTGCTCCTCAACAAAGCCAGCGCAGCCCAGATGCTCTCTTACTCGCCACGGCGCATGAGGCCCAATACTGACAGCCCACGCTGATCATGCCCTTCCAATTTCTTGGCCCACTGGACACGCTCGGACCATCACGCGGGACACGCCAGTTCCAATTCTAGCCGTTAGGACCCCGAAGGTTCCAAAATCCATGGCGGCGGGCGAACGGGGACGTCCCGATCCCAGTGGCCACGGGCGGCGTCGTGATCAAGCACATCTTCCTCAACGCGCCGCCGCCGGTGTCAAGCGCGGAGGCGGAGGAGGAGCCGTGGGGGTGAACAAGGAGGAGGAGGAGGCCGGTGACGCTGGGGCGGCACGCCGACTGCCACGTGCTCGTCGTCAGCCGCTTCCACCTCCATTTACAGTGCCGACGTCAACAGAAGCTGATCAGGTCACCGACCTCTGCTCCCCGTGGGACGCCGGCCGCTCTGTTTCCTTTTCCCCCTTCCTCTGCATCCACGTATTGAGCTCGTGATCGTGGCGCTGACTCGATTGATCCGATTCCGCGGACTGGTCTTGTCTGCCAGTCTTTGTTTCAATTGATTCATGCTCGTTCATTTGATTGAGTGCACTGGACATCGCTGCCTAATTCTCCTTTATATGCTCGCAGAAAAACTTTCTTGTTGTTCTGGAGCTAGCTGTTGATTCCTTGTCGTCTAAGTGTTTGATAAAATGCGCAGGAACCCAACATCCAGTTAGTGTCTGGGCACATGGATTCAGTGGACATGGAGACCCATCAGGTTTGTTCACGTCAAATATGTATTACTGAAGAGCGGAAACATTGTATGAAATGCTTATCGATATCTTTAGGGCTGCAATCCCTGTTTATTAATCTGGTAGCCTGAAACTGCAAAGTGGCTACTGATGCATTTTTTTTTTTTGTATTAACCACGCAAGAAGAAGCTGTGTTCAGTGCGTTCGGCAAGATCGAGTCTGTCAGGATCTGCTCCATGCTTCAGGCCAAGTTTACGAGGAGAGGAGCTGTTTTACAGGGAAAGGTCAATGAATTGGTTGACAAGTCAGTACATGTTTGCCTCTGAATTGTTGTTCTTCATCTAGTTAGTTCTGTACTTGCACTGGTCACTCTTTTGCCTGACTCTACATAGCTTCAGTGAAACTGATTTAAAACACATGACGCTTAACAGCTTTACGTTAAAATATGCCCAAATTACTGCGTGATATTGACGTGATGATTGCATAACTGCCTAAATTTCCATATTGTTTTTACAAGTGATTTCCCTTTCTAAAGCTTGTAACCTTTTAGTTCAGTGGCAATCACATTCATGTTGCTGAGCTTTTCGCATGCCCATGTTCTTTAGCATGTCAATGACTCAAGGAGTGCATCTTGACTCTAGATCAATAGTGTGAGAAAAGAAACGTGGTCACAACATGACCGATAATAGTGTGAGAGAGCGTTTTTTTAATAGGTCTCAGACCAAACGCTCCAACAGCTAATTCACCCTTTTTTGCGAGAAGTTAGTCACAAGAAAAAACAAACATGGTCACAACATGTTTGTGAAGCCTTAAGGTTCCCAGCCAATTAAAAAAAATGCAGTCGAGAAAATAATAGTGGGAGAAACATTCTGGGGTCATTTTGCCATTCCAAAGATCAAGCGAGACGAGATTATTACGATTGACGGATTGAGCTATGGAATGGATGGCCCACGGTCTAGACTTCTAGTCCATCTAGTTAGTTAGAGACAAAGTTTTAAATCTCTGCCTATAGCTGCAGCTATAGCCGGAGATAGCTGCTGGATGAGATGAAAGCTAAGATATTCGACTTTTGGCGCTAACATTAGCCAACAGCTAATAGCCGGAGAAATCCAGATATAGCCGCTAATGGAGCCACGTTTTAGCTGTAGCTGAAACTTTGCCGGCCCAGAAAAGTCACCCACGGCCCAGCTAAAATTTTCTGGGCTCAACTTTTCCCAACCCACCCCCACACCCCGTAACCCTAGCCTGTAGTCTCGGTCACGCTCGACTCTCTCCCAAGTCTCTGATAAAAAGGAGCAGGCGGCGGCAGCAGCCTCTCTTTCGATGGCGGTGGCGGCCTCTGCTTCCGAAGCCGGCGTCGGGCCAGGGCCAGCAGCACAGCCAGCCGGATCCCCCAAGCGGCGGCTGCTGCCTGTTGCGGATTCCCCAACCCAGCGCAGCTCGAGCCGCGGCGGAGTCAGCAGTCAGCACGACCGGAGGCAGCTCGAGCGTCTTCCCCAACTCCGGTTGCCTTCCTCGGTTCTTCATCTTGCCCAATCCTAAGCAGCAACAACAACACCAAGTCGTCAAACACCATGAAAGATCAATCAAGTAACTTTCTTCATCTTCCCCAATCCTCAGTAGCAGTAGCAACACCAATTCGTTGTACTATTGTCTTTAGCTCTACAGTTTATTAGCATGTGATGGCCACCTATGAACCTGTGATTTACTCCTCTGAAGTTTCAACTGTCATGTGTTTTTTTCTATTTTTTGCAAAAACAGCTAAAGGGCTTAGCTGCAGCAATCTCTGGCTATAGCTGCGTTTAGTTGTTTGGAAGGTCCGCAGCTAAGAGGCTTAGCTGGAG